GCGTCTGCGCAGTCGCCGCCGTCGCAGCAGCAGCAGCCGTTTGTGGACTCTGGGGGTGTTGGCGTTGAGGAGGGTGCTAGTCCTGGGGTTCCTGTCCTGGCTTGTCCCGGCGGGCTCGGGGGTGGCACTGGTGCTGAAGAGGGTTCTCGCTCTGGGGGTGCTCGTTCTGGGGGTGCTAGAGTGGAGTATTCCGGAGGTAGTCGCGGTGCAGCTGGCGGTCCAGGTGTCGATGTCGAGCAGCAGCAGCAGCAGCAGTCGCCGCCGGTGTTCGCACTTCGCCTGCTCGGCCTTCCCTCCCCTGACCACTCGCCAGCGCCTCCCCCGCCGACTCCTCCCCTTCCTGTCCACGGTCCTGTGTTTCCTCTGCCGAACTTGTCCCCGACCCCTTTCCCATCTCGTTCCCCTCCTGCTACTCCTCCTATGTCTACTTACCTGACGCCTCCGTCTCACGACTGATCTCGCCGTCCCTCTCGTGCTCATCCTGTCTCTCCTGTTCCGCATTCTCACCCTATGTTGCTTCGTTCCCATGCATCTCGTCCTCCCCTCCTGCCTTCCCCTCCTCCGTCATCGCTCGCTGTCATGCCTCCCCCACTGTCCGACTACCTTCGTGCTCCTCGTCCTCTTCTTCCTCGGATCCTTGCCTCCCTCGTTACCGACCCGTCTGTTCGAGTCTCCAGTCTTGACGCTCTTGTCGCTGTTATCGCTGGCTTCACCTCTACTCGCCGCCTTGATTACGCAACAGCTCTGGTCTCTGACCCTGTCCATCCCTCGTCCGTCAGGGGTGCTCCTGCCCTTGGCAGTGACGTCCTAGAGGACAGGCAATACGAGCTTGCTTTCCTGTCCGAGGCTGCTCCCTATCTCTGCTCCATGCTGCTAGTTCCTAAGGGTGACCCAGACGCCCTTGACATCCGGACCCCTCGCACTTACGCTGAGGCAACCTCGGGACCCTGGGCCTCTCAGTGGATAGCTGCCATGGAGCAAGAGATGACATATTGGAGATCCACGGGTACCTACATTGACGCAGTTGTCCCACCTAGGGTGAACGTAATCGACGGCCGATGACTCTTCAAGGTGAAGCGCCCCCCTGAAGAGCCGCCTGTGTTCAAGGCACGATACGTGGCTAGAGGCTTCATTCAGCGAGAGGGGGTGGACTTCTTTCAGACCTTCGCCCTGACCCCGCAGATGACTACTCTTCGTGCCCTGCTATACGTAGCAACACATCGTGACTACGAGCTCCACTCCCTCGACTTCTCCATTGCTTTTCTTCAGGGCAACCTACACGAGCAGGTCTACCTGCGCCTACCACAGGGCTTCACCAGTACCTTCCCTCCTGGGACCCAGTGGCTCCTCCAGCGCCTGGTCTACTGCCTGTAACAGGCGCCCCGTGAGTGGCACGACACGTTGCGTGCTACATTAGTTGACCTGCAGTTCTTTCCGTCCTCTGGAGACCCCTCGCTCTTCAATCGTGCTGGCCATACTCCGTTCTACATCCTTGTCCATGTAGATGACCTGGTCTTCGCCACTGCAGACAGAGACGCACTGGCCTCCGTGAAGGCCGAGCTGCTAAGGAGACACAGCTGCACTGACTTAGGAGAGCTGCGCCGCTACCTTGGCTTGCAGACCTCCAGGGACAGAGCAACGCGCATCATCACTCTCACACAGTCACACTTGGTGCGCCAGGTCCTTCAGAGGTTTGGTCTTCAGTTCTCCTCTGTAAAGCCCACACCTCTGTTAGCAGACCTCAGGCTCTCAGCTCCAGTTCCTGAGGAGTCAGTAGAGTCCAGTGGTCCTTACGCTGAGCTGGTGGGTTGCCTCATGTACCTGATGACTTGCACTCATCCAGATCTCGCACACCCTCTCAGCATCCTGGCTTGCTTTGTGGCCACAGGCAGACACTGACCACAGCACTGGTCGGCTGCTAAGAGGGTTTTGTGTTATCTAGCGAGTACATCGGGCATGGGGCTAGTGCTAGGAGGATGCAGGCCGGTGTTCCTTACCAGGCACACAGACGCTTCTTGGGCAGACGACGCTGAGACCCGCAGGCCCTCCCAGGGCTACTGCTTTAGCCTTGGTTTGGGTGCCATCTCGTGGAGGTCGACTCACTCATCGTTTGTTGCCTAGTCTAGTTGTGAGGCTGAGATCTACGCCGGTGCGATGGCGGCATAGGAGCTCTGCTGGCTGACATTCTTGCTTGCCGACTTAGGTGAGTGGCCTAGCTTTGCCCTGGTCCTGTACGCTAACATTAGGGCCATGATCCTCCTATGTCAGGAGCCTCGACTTGAGGGAAGAGCGAAGCATATCCGGCTGCGGTACTTCCTCCTTCGTGAGCTACAGCAGTGCCGCTAGGCCTGCGTCGTACACTTGGCCTCCAGATCCAACACGACTGATATCTTTACTAAGGCGCTTGCGCCTAAAGATCATCAGTGGCACTGCTTGTAGCTTGGTCTAGTTCCTGTAGACTCTCACTCACTATGACCTTGATTGTGTACTTCTCTTTATATATATCTTTCACATTGGCCTTGTGGCTCCTCTTCCAATGGTCGAACTAGTAGTGCCGCCCTGGTTTGCTTCTGTGTTGTTTGTACTCTTGCTGACTGATCTTCGGACCCCTGTCTCGGAGGTCGGACTAGTAGTGCCACCCTGAGCTGTGTGCTTCTTGCTATGCACTACCCCTTATGTAGCCTACGGAGTGTGTCAACTTTTACATACATTTGCATATAGACTTATAGGCTGGAATAGGTGTATGTTTTTAGGGAGTACAACCCAATCCTATATCTTGCTTGTTCTCCCTTGTTTTGAGTTATTCGAGTATTCTAACACTACAGGCCTCTATGCCTGGGGGGTTATGGGCGCACTGACCCGCTATTTAACAAGCCCTTTAACTCACTGGTTAGTGGCTGAGCTTCTGACATGGCATCAGAGCGTGGGTGACTCCGGTTCAATTCTCGGTGCCAGCGCTGCAGAGTCGCTCGTGTCCTCCACCTATCCCAGAGAAGGGGGGTGTCAAGAGACCCGCTGGGGTTGCCCTTGAGAAGATCCTCGGGGAAGGGCCATAGGCCTCTATGCCTGGGGGGTTATGGGCGCATTGACCCGCTATTTAACAAGCCCTTTTAACACAGTGGTTAGTGGCTGAGTTTCTGACATTGCACATGTAGCCCTTCCCCGAGGATCTCCTCAGGATAACCCCAGCGTGTCTCCCGACACCCCCCATCGCTGGGATTGGCGGAGGACACGAGCGCCTCTGCAGCGCTAGCACTGGGAATTGAACCTGAGTCACCAACGCTCTGATACCATGTCATAACTAAGCCACTAACCACGGAGTTAAAAGGGCTTGTTAATAGCAGGTCAGTGCACCCATAGCCCCCAAGGCTCTGCACATGTGGCCCTTCCCCGAGGATGTTCTCAAGGGTTACCGCAACGGACCATAAGTGTATTTTACCTGATATCCAGAGGCCTGGCCCTCCCACCGTGTTTCGAACTATCGCAAAACGCTTCTTTTCATTTCGTTTGGTACAATGTGCCCCAGTATGGTGTCAAGAGACTAGGTAGCTAGGAGTAGGAGGAAGTCATGAAAATAGCGTGATGTTTTAGGCTAGAAGAGAAATTTACGTGAGAAAAGAGAGGCGAGAATAGAAGAGAGAGGGATACAAGGAGGGGGGTGTCACGAAGGCTAGGTGGCTAGGAAGGGTAGGCGGCATTGGATGGTGTGAGGTTTAAGGTAGAAGGAAAGTTGACGAGAGAAAAAAAAGGAGAGAATAGAAGAGAAAGGCATACAAGGAGGGGGGTTGTACCCTCTACAGTTCGTTGCAATAACGCATACCAAGCCTACCAATTATATAACAAAATATATAATTTAACACACCCCTTAGGCTTGGTAGTAACAAGCCAACACACACACCCACACCCCCTAACCTAGCCCTCCCATTCCTAGCAGCAGTCGCGATGACTCCGGAATCGGTCAACACCCACGACCCGGTAGATGGCAATGGCGGCAGCCGCGGCAGTGACGAGAGCGACGGCGGCGGTGTGCGGCGGCAACATGCCAGCGGCAATAGCGGCGGTGGCGGCTTCAACGTTAGAGGCGACTGCAGCGGCCCCTGCCCTCTCGGCGGCATGACCAATCTCATCAGCTATGGGGAAGGCCCTCACGAGGCAGTCGACGGCTGTGGCAAGGAAGAGGGGACGTAGGGGAAGGAGGGTGTGGGGGGGGAGGGGGGGGGGGAGGGCTAGGTCCAGAATGACGCCCAAGGCAGACGAGCGGGCGGCAGGTCTAGCGGTACCACAGGCGTTGCGCGGCCGGCTGCCGTCCGACGGCGCCGCCACCGCAGCATTACGACACCGCCACAGTGCAGCGTCGATGCCACGACGGGACGTTGATGCTGCGACGGCAGCATGACGGCGCCGTCACGCCGCCACAGCTGGACGTCGACGACGCCGTCACGGCTGGATGTCGACGCCACGGCAGCGGGACGCCACGGGAGCGCGTCGAGACGGCCGCGGCACGACGCTGCCAGCGGCGCGACGACGCCGCCACAGCAGCACGACGCGGCCACCATGGCAGCGCGAGAGGAAGAGGAGTGCGTAGCGGAAACGTAAGGAGCAGACCCGGGAAGGGCAACCTGTTCTGTTACCATATCACGAAGGCTAGGTAGCTAGGAAGGGTAGGCGGCCATGGATGGCGTGAGGTTTTAGGTAGAACGAAAGTTGACGAGAGAAAAAAAAGGAGAGAATAGAAGAGAGTCATACAAGGAGGGGGGTTGTACCATCTACAGTTTGTTGCAATAACATATACCAAGCCTACCAATTATATAACACAATATATATTTTAACAAGGGAATGTACCCTCTACAGTGGGCCCTTTATTATGCCCCCCAAAAGATAAGGTTTTAAAGAGCGCCCAATGTGTGATTCTTTAGTATGTGGTTTTAGTCATGCTTTGCTTGTAACATAGCTTTGAAGGATAAAGCACATTTAGTACACTGACGAAGGTACAAATAAATTGGCTTTGGGAAATGAAAGGGTCACATTGCAAACCACAATGATCATAGCTAGCCATAGATAGCAATCCATATTAAGTATTGAGTGAGTGGTAGTGGTAGTCTACTACTTATGGTAGGTTTATTGAAACAAACTCTGAAAATCCGGCAAAGTAAGTTTGTTTTGTTTTGGCTTTTTTTCTTCCCTGGCGGGCTGGATAGGTAGTATGGGTTCCTTGCTTCGCTTTGCATCTTGGTCACTGCCGTCGTCAATCTCATCGTCAGCCCTGGTAACGGGCTGTGTAGTTTTCGTCATCCCTCGAAGACCCCGCGCTTCCCTTTGATTCGTGCGCTGCGGCCCGCCACGTCACACAAGCTTCACTGGCAGATTTGGATAGAGTGAGAACGTAGCCCCGTTCAGATCAGCCGTCAGCCAATAATGGCTGTCCACGTGCAATGTAAAGCTGCGATCTCGTGTACCTGTCGCACGATATTTCTGCGCCCCAGCCATCTCGCCTCGCCGCATGATTCGCATCCTTAGGGAATTCGCCTGTTTCGCGCGACACCGCGACATTCGTGGACATGCTCACAGCCTGCCCGGCACCCGCCCCACGAACTGCTGGTTACAGCCCGCTTGCGCCTCCGCTGCGGGGAAATTGATCATACCGCCCCGCCCCCCACTGCGACTTCTCCTTGATTAGTGGACAAGCAGCGCATTCGTCGCTTCGTCCCTATACCATCTCCCGCGAGGGGTGGACGGGCAGAGCGCAAGAGAATCAGCGCACCTCTTGTCGCCGCACCACCTCCGTGAACGGCGCAAAAGGTGTCCGAGTCGTATGCGCAGCGCGCATTTCCCCCCATTTTGTAAGCCGCAGAAGCGCGCGGAAAGTCCCCGCACAATACAAACCATAGAGTGCGCAGAAAGCCGCAGAAAACGGCAGAAAGCCGCAGAAAGGCGCAGAAAGCCCAAAGCCCCCAAACGCGCGAATGAAAGCCGCCTCAAAAAACAGTGAATGCGTGCAAGTCAAACCCGCACATGGCCATGTCGTCAGCAGCAGCAGCAGCCTCTGCGTCAGCGTGGCTCACGCCGTCTTCCACGGCGCACCCCATCGCTCCCATTCCTCCCATCGCACCTTCCATGCTTCCCAGCAGATTGAACAGCTCCTGATTCCCTCTCATGCCCCCTCCGCTCATATCCTCCGCTGCGCCCGCGCAGTCCCCGTCCGCGCATTCCCCATCCACCTCCCGCTCCGCATCAGCAGACCCCATGATTTCCATCCCCGTTTGAGGCAGCCCCTCTTTCCACAGACAGAATCCGTCAGCAGGTAAGTCTTGCTCCTGTAGTCCCAAACTGGGAGCAAACGTAGCAAACTCGCCGCCATGAGCCGCTTTCCCCGCGGTAGTCCGCGCGGCAGCAGCAGCAGCCTCAGAATCACTCTGCCCATCCTCCGCACCGTCTTCCACTGATGTCTCGTTATAAGGCGCCTCAAAATATGCCGGAGCCGTGGCTGTCAGACCAACCTGAGGCTCAGGCTGCAGGCCGGCAGATTGCTGCATCATTGCCGCATCGCCGTCCATCCAGCCGTCCAAGCCTCCTTGCCCGTCCAAACCTCCAGCCGTCCATGCAGTACGATTGAAATCCGCGTAGCTCCTAACGCCGCCGCCGCTTTCGCCGTCGTTGCCAGCGGAAGCGTGGTTGTAAAGGTCATACAATTCGTGACTCTGCTCAGCAGGCTCAGCAGGCTGCTGATGCGGTGATGAGACAAAACCTTCAGATCCGTCGTCTGCAGTGGCGATATTGTTCAGATTCGCCACGCGGTTACCAGCATGGGCGAAAGGGGTCGGGAGGGGTTCGACGAGGGCGGGAGCGGGCTGCATTGCGGGCGGAGGAGGCGCAGCAGCAACGGGGAAGGCGGTCGGGGGGAGGGTGAGCGGCGGAAGCGCAGCCGCTTCCGCCTCGCCCACTCCGCCGATCTCGTCCAAGGACGAAACGGGCGAGCTGCTGATATACGAATGGGGCTTGGCCGGAGTAACCTGACAGGCCTGACCGTTGGCAAAGTTGCTGCTAACAGGTGGGCTGGGGGTAAAACTAGAAACCGCCCCTGCTGGTGCGGGGTACAATCCGTGGGCCGGGAAGAATTTCCCAGCGTCCTTCGGAAAAGAACCTTCCTGCTGATCTTGGAATGAACCACGCGCTTCCATCCCCTCTTCTTCTTCCTCCTCATCTGCCTCTTCGCCGTCGTCGTCCTCCTCCTCCGCCGCCGCCTCCTGATGCTGTTGCTGCTGCTGCTGCTGGTTGTCGTATTGCTGCAGTCGGGCAGACGGAATTTCCACTTCCGGCTCGGAGTGGTTCGATTGCCCACGGTCCGACTGGTCCGAGCCGCCAGGTTGGGCGCACGGGGTGACTGCGCCTCCGAAGCGCTCGTTTAAGCGCGACGTGACGGGGCGATCGCCTGCGGAAACCTCCGGCTGATTGGCTCCCAGCTGCTGCTCGATGTCAGACATCTGCAAGGATAAGAAAGAAACGGATTCGTTATACGCGGATTCGTTAAGGTTCAAGTCCCTTGTGGGTAGGGTTACGAAAAGTGTAGGGTTGAAAAGAACCCAACACGTGCAGAGGAACATATATTCGTTACACCGAGAGCAAACACACCCGAATTCGTTACTCACCATGTCAAAGAGCTGCGTGTTTTGCAGCAGCAGCTCCTGGTAATCCGATTTCAGCAGCTCGTAATCGTCTTGCAGCTCCCTGCACTGCGCCTGGAGCTTCGCGTAAGCCTCCTGCATCCCCTCCAGCTCCGTCTCGCGCTCCCGCGTCCGCTGCCGCACCTTGCGGTTCTGGAACCACACGCACACCTGCCGCGGCTTCACGCCGAGCCGCGCCGCCAGCTGCTTCTTGCTCGCGGGGGTCAGCTCCTGCTCCACCGCGAAATGCGCCTCCAAATGCGCGAGCTGATCCTCGTGGAACCGCGGGCGCTTCCGCTTCAATGCCTCCGCCGCTGCCGCGCCGCTCCCCCCGCTCCGTGCGCTCCCTCCGCTCCCTCCGCTCCCCGCGCTGCCGTAAGTAGCGGTGGTGTTGCCGGTCGAGGACGCGGGGAGGCGCTGGGACAGCGGGCGGATCATCCCCGCACGGGGGGTGCTGGGCGCCTGGAGGTGCGGAGTTGCGACAGCAGCTGGGGGGGAACCACCGGCGAACAGCTGCGGGGGGGGCGGGATGCTGAGCGACGGCGGTAAGACGCGCGGTTGAAGCGCGGGCGGCTGGATAAAGATCGCGCGCGCCTGCGCGGGCGCGGGCGCTTGCGCGTTCCGGCTGTCCGTCCCCACGCTCTCCACCCCGCTCACCCCGCTTGACTGGGGGAAACTCGCCGCGCCTTTCCCCTTTCCGCGTCCTCTTGCGCCGCCTCTTCCGCCGCATTTCCTGGGTGTACTAACTGCCGTCCCGTTCGACGCGAGGGGAGTGGTCGGAGTGAAAGCAGCTTGACAATTCGTCACATTGAACGTCGGACATTGAAGGTCTTTGATTTCAGGCTTCACATCTTCCTCACATTCCTCCGAGAATTCGTTCGCTGGTGGCTGAAGATTCGCGAATTTCGGCTTGCTTCGCGGAGTTTGGTGGTTCTTCGCCGCCTCCTTGGAGTTTCCGCCGCGGGATCTTGACTTGGGCGGGAATGCGGGGCTGGTCGGCGGGAATCGTCCGCCAGGGGTCATCGGGGCGTGCTCGACGGCGCGAAACTCGGAGGGCTCTCTTGCGATCGCCGGTATGTCGATCGGCATGAACTGAAGGGCCATGATTCTCCGCGAATTTTATTTCTTGCACATGAATTTTCGCGAGAGAAGCCAGTAGCGCGTAGAATGTAGGAGGTCGTAGCAGCTTACTGAGTGTTCCAGACTTCGCCGCGTTTAGTAGGCGGTGTTCGTTAGCCGAGGAGGTATGCAGCGAGTGGCAGATCCTGCCAGCGGCATAGTAGGCAGCTAGGAGGTATGGCTCCGCGCCTTCTGCTACAGCGGGAGGATTTGCGCTGTGTCTGGCGGGATTCGCGCAGGGGATAAAAGAAATATCCCACGCTCAGCGGAATCCGGTCGAGGGCAGGAGGGTTGCTTGCAGGTGGGTGAGGGGGAGCAACAGGAAAAGTGCCAATGAAATGGGCGCGAATTTGCAGTCAAGTACATGAGGTTTCGTGTTGCTCTTTATCCAATGCAGTACGAAATCGTTGAGTCTGTCGAGCTGGATGACTGCGATCAGAACAAATGGGAAGGCCGGAGTGGGTGGTTCGGGAGGGAGGTTTGGTCAGGCTTGTTTGGTTTGGGACAAACGTGACACAGGTAAAAGTTGACAGCTGTCGTTTGGCAACTCGGCTGCTAGGGGAGCTGAGGTGGAAGGCAGAACCCGACGAGATGAGGTTCTCGTTTGACGCTTGGCTCGGGCTTGGTTCGTTCAGGCGGCTTTGGGGAGCAGCTGAGGATGATGGGGAAATTTAGGTGGGCAATAAGGGGTCCAACCAAGCCACATGGATTTCGCATTGTGGCTGGCATAATGCTGCCCGAGTTTGGGGACGGGTTGGGGATGGGTGATGCTTGGTTCGGACCGGGGCGCGTGAGGGTGAGGGGCAGTGAACAGAAAACAGTACTTCCGAATTTTGGGATGGAGGAGCGTAACTGGCTGACTCTGACATCCATGTAAGGTCAAACGGTCTTTGAATAGAAGGTCGGGCAGCTTGCATGATGCCTCGAAAGTAGGGGCACCTGGTAATGATGGTGTTCAGTGTGCATTACACTTCGAACTGGCTTATAAGTTGTAAAAACGGGAATTTCAATACTGACTGTAGAATATCAGGCAAACTCTACCCTGCAAGAATGTGCAGCAGTGTAGTGCTCCGGGGGATGCAAAATATTTCGGGATATCTGAAATGCTGATGGGGATGCTGGTTCGTGTGTGCACAATGCTTCTTGAGAGACGGCTAGTCAGCTCCGCCAGCCAACCAGAGAGCGCCAAGGGTGGAAAGCCGCATTTGTCGCTTGCATAACGCGTTTGGTCTCAGCGCCAACCAAGAGCAAGAATGAGCATACCGTAACTTGAGGAAGCCGTGGAACACGGCCGTGCTTAAGCGTTGGACGCGGAGGCCTAGCTTCTGGTCATTCCATCAGCGCACGACACGTGGTAGATTTTACTCGCTCTACGATTAGCAGAGGGTTCAGCCCTATCTCTCCGCGAACTCAGCAGCGAACAAAAGAACCGCACCTGGCGTTTCGATATGCGTGGAAGAAAGCTGGTTCCAATAAGGAAAACAGCCCTGCCGTGTCACTTTTCCCCTAACCAATGGAGGGGAGCCGGCTGCCCCGTCAGATCAATCTACCTGGCTGCAGCCAAATACACATCATCCGAAACACGCTTGATAGCCCGTCAAAGGTTTTTGACATTCACATTGATACATTGCACTGCAAGAGCCTTATGCAAATCTTAGCCTATAAACTACTATCAGTAGATTGGGTTGAGAGTCCCATGCATGTACATGTGTGTGCTAAGATGTTATTAGTTAAAGTAGAAGCTGCATTGTTGTTTTAAAACCACATTTAGGACCTATTTTAAGTTATTAGGTTAGTTAGCACCCTGCGCTTCTGCCACTAACACAACCCTCCAAGAGCACCATTGGGGCTTATTCACAGAGTACTAGAGCACTTTAGCTTTGTGAAAACAAAGCAGCTTTCAAGTGCCCCATTGTGGCTTATTCACTGTGAGCAGTAGTGTAGTCTCAGAAACTTAGGACTAAAGGTTCTTAAACTTAGGAGGCTATGTTGGCTAGGATACTAGGAAGAAGACCGCCATGGAATGGCGTGAGGAAAAACGGATCTAGGAAGAGAGAGAATGTCGAGAAGAAAGGTGTGTGATTAGGAAGAGAGAGGAGTACAAGAAGGGGTTTGTACCCTCTACAGAAAGGTTCAGTAACAACCTACCAAGCCTATATTAACTTATAACTTATATAAATTTAACACACCCCCTAGGCTTGGTAGTGTCAAGCCCACGCACACCCCCACACCCACACCCACACCCACACCCCCTAGCCCAGCACCCCCATTCCCAGCAGGAGCCGAAACGACTCCGGAAGAGGGTAGGTCTCACGGCCCCTTGAGACGGCAATGGCGGCAGCAGCGACAGTGACGACAGCGGCGGCGGCGGCGGTGTGCGGCGGCTCCAGGCCTGCGGCAACAGCGGCGGCGCCGGGGGCTCGAACGACAGAGGCTGGTGCGGCGGCCCCCGCCCTCTCGGCGGCATGTCCTGTCTCCTCGGCGGTGGAGAGGTCCCTCACATGGCAGTCATCGGCTGCAGCAAGAAAGGGGGGGATGCAGGGGAAGCAGGTGCAGGTGGGGGGGGGAGGGGAGGGGGCGGGGCGAGGCGGGTCTTCAGCGACGCGCCATAAATGGCGCGGCGCTTACTGGCGGGAGGACGTCGTCCTGAGGGACGCCCGTCTGTGGCGAGCGGGCGGCAGGCCCGGCGACGCCACAGACGTCGCTCGGCCGGCCGCAGTCCGACGATGCCGTCGGCACCCGCAGACGCCGCCACAGCGCACCGTCAATGTCGCAGCGGCGAGGCGGACGGGCGACGGCTGCACCAAGAGGCCGTCGCGACACCTTGGCGCCGCGACGGTAGGCAACGAGGGACCGTCGCGACATCTTGGTGCCGCGACGGCAGGCAACAAGGGGCCGTCGCGACATCCTGGCGCCGCGACGGCAGGCAACAAGGGGCCGTCGCGACAACTTAGTGCCGCGACGGCAGGCAGGCAGAAAACCGCGAAGGCTGCGAATGCAGTAGGAGTACGCAACGGGAACGTAGGGAGAGGGTTTGGTGGACACGACCGGCTCTGATACCATCTTAGAAACTTAGGACTAAAGGTTCTTAAACTTAGGAGGCTATGTTGGCTAGGATACTAGGAAGAAGACCGCCATGGAATGGCGTGAGGAAAACCGGATCTAGGAAGAGAGAGAATGTCGAGAAGAAAGGTGTGTGATTAGGAAGAGAGAGGAGTACAAGAAGGGGTTTGTACCCTCTACAGAAAGGTTCAGTAACAACCTACCAAGCCTATATTAACTTATAACTTATATAAGTTTAACATGTAGCCCCCTTAGGGCTTCCTCATTGCCAGTGGGGCAGAGTCGTTTCAGTAGCAGCTCCCGCCGCCGGCTCAACTCTAACCTTGAACATTGAACCCACCACCATCTCCGGATGAGCTGCGGCAAGCAGGCTTATAGCAACTGTCTTAGCAGCCGTTGCAGAGTTAAAGCCGGCCACCGCCATGTTAGGGTTGGCTGGGCACTGGTCACACACCTTCCTATTCACACACCTGAATACCAGGTCTGGGCATGGCCCAAGCACAGGTCAGGGGAATCTCGGTTGCTTCGAATGGATTGGCAGTAGAGTTGTTTACGGAAATACTTGCTGTCGGTTTCAGGGCTCCTAAGTAGGCCAGAATGATGCTGGCTCTGAGCGTGCACTTGCCACTTTTGGAGGCAAGGGAAATGTAGGACAATATGGTTGAGAACGGTGATAAATGCCACTTGGGCTCTTGAGTAGACCAGAATGATGCAAGGGACTTGCACTTGCGGTCACAGAGTGTAAGGGAAAAGGAGGACAATGCAGTTTAGAGTGGCAATCACTGCTCCATGCTTCAGAGCTCCTGAGTAGACGTAGATGCTATTTCTTAGAAAGAGAGAATGAATGACTAGTGTGAGAAACCTAGAACATGTACCCGTTGGGGTTGTACTCACTAGAAGCACACACCTGTGCTAGGCTATAACTTCTACATACAGCATATATATAAGTTGACACACCCCCTAGGCTAGAGAAGGGGTGGTGCTAGGCAAGAAGCACACATCTCAGGGTGGCACTACTAGTCCAACCACTGAGGTAGGAGTCCTGAGACCAGTCAGCAAAAGTACAAGCAAGACTAAAGCAAGCCAGGGCGACACTACTCGTTCAGCCACTGGAGGTAAGGCCACAAGGCCAGTCTGACAGGTATATATAATAGAGAGTACACAATCAGGGTCCTAACAGGTGAGTAACTACAGGAACAAGACCAAGCTGTACACAGTGCCGCTGATGATCTTTAGGCGCAAGCGCCTTAGTAAAGATATCAGCTGTGTTGGCACCTGAGGCCAAGTGAACTACGCGGGCCTAGCGACGCTGCTGTAGCTCGCGCAGGAGGAAGTACCGCAGCTGGATATGCTTCGCTCTGCCCTCAAGCCGAGGCTCCTGACACAGGAGAATCATGGCCCTGTTGTCAGCGTACAGGACCAGGGTAGAGCTAGGCTGCTCACCTAAGTCTGTGAGCAAGAACATCAGCCAACGGAGCTCCTGTGTCGCCATGGCACCGGCGTAGATCTCAGCCTCACAGCTGGACTGAGCAACAGACGACGAGCGAGTGGATCTCCAAGAGATAGCACCCGAACCAAGGCTAAAATTGTAGCCGTGAGACGACCTGAGTGTCTCAGAGTCGTCTGCCCAAGAAGCGTCTGTGTGCCCAGTGAGGACCACCGGCCTGCATCCTCCTAGCACTAACCCCATGCCTGATGTACTTGCTAGATATCGCAAAACCCTCTTAGCGGCCGACCGGGAACATAGTCCATAGGAATGGGAGCGGAGAGCCCATAGTCTACATGTAGAGGTGTGGGCTGTGCGGAGGAGAACTGAAAACCGAACCTCTGAAGGACCTGACACACCAAGTGTGACTGTGTCAGAGTGATGGTGCGTGCTGCTCTGTCCCTAGAGTTCTGCAGGCCAAGATAGTGACGCAGCTCTCCAAGGTCAGTGCAGGTGTGTCTCTTCAACAGCTCGGCCTTCACGGAGGCTAGTACGTCCTTGTCAGTAGTAGCGAAGACCAGGTTGTCTACGTAGACAAGGATGTAGAACGGAGTCTAGCTGGAACGCACAAACAACGAGGGGTCAGCAGAGGACGGAAAGAATTGCAGGTCTGCTAATGTGGCACGCAGCATGTCGTGCCACTCGCGAGGAGCCTGATGCAGGCCATAGACCGGGCGCCTAAGAAGCCACTGGGTCTCAGGGGGGAACGTGCCAGTGAAGCCCTGTGGTCGGCGCAGGTAGACCTGCTCGTGTAGGCTGC